GGGGGGGGTTCCACGAAAATCACGTTTATTCGAAATGACATTTTTCGGAAGTTCTGCATGCGATAGAATTATTTAGGCCCGAAATACTCCAATTAAGACTTTAGGATCCAACTAAAGTGCCGAGTTCAGTATTACATTGTACGGTACCTAAAATAGAACCACAGTACAAATTATAATTGTTGATCACATTAGCGTCTAGCATAACTAGGAATCCAACTACTGTTTGCTCTCAATTTGCTGAGTGCAAAAACATGACGTTCCTATTCTATGAATTACGACATGTGTCGATTATTTACCAACTAACTGTTTCTAAAAAAAAAGGTCGGGCTATGCCAACCATTTATCTATAATACCGCCTTGAAAACACCACCTTTCCATCAAGATTATTTTAAACATGTTTGACCTTAGTTATCTCTCTTCAATCAAATACAAATGTAATAGTGAAACGTGGCGATATTTACTTCTATTATAACAACTCCATTTATTTCTCCTTATTTTCTATTTTACCATATCTTTACAATATTTGACTTCATCTTCAGAACCACCAGACTTCATCTACGATGGAAACCCAGAAAGAAGAAAAAGAGACACAAAATCATTGTATGTATACTCGGATATGTCGAATAATTTCCTGAATTAATATGTTAAATTAATGATTCTAATGAAAGATTTAAAAGAATCCACGCGCCGATAATTACCTTGTTACTCTATTAACGAGAGATAACTACAGCTAAATGTGTGAAGATCGTCTTACTGTATAGTTAAAAGACGTCAAGAGAACAGTTGTGTACTTCCTACAATCTTGTTTACTAAACAGTTTATCAATAATTAGAGTGACAAAAATAACCCCGATCGAAAACATGTATCATACATGATAGGTTATATGATTGTTCCATTACACAATAATTTAATGTATTTAGGTAAAGCTATGTTTAGTAAAAACAAAAAAAGGAAAGGAATTCTGAAAACCATTTTTATTTTACTTTATTACACCAAAGGTTTTCTTATATCAACAACGATATTTTTACTGAAAGGCCCGATCCTAGAAACACTTTTAAAATTAAAAGTCAGAACAAACCTTATTGAGATGGGGTTTCTTTAGAGTGGACTGGATTCAAGTGGTTTATGTATCCAAGGTAATTTCTGTTTTTCCAGTTCTATATAGTTGATCCTATATAAATCAGTAATTTTTGTAAAACGTTTCTCTTCACGTGTAATTTATAATTTACAGATGTAAAACCAATAGTGGTGATGATTGTTATTGGTGACGCTATACATAACTTCACAGACGGGTTGGCAGTGGCAGCTTCCTTCAACAGCAGCATCGTAGAGGGAGTATCGACGTCACTGGCCATTATATGCCACGAGCTACCACAAGAACTAGGTACTTGTGTTTGTAATGTTTAACCTTATTGATGTGATAGGGATGCTACTAGTTCAGAACTTGTTATTTGAATGAACGAATAATAATGATTATCATGCGCTAAAGGTTGCCATAGGATTTATGTAAAGTGGTAGTGATATGCTGTTTTGTTGGTTAGTTGTGTAAAGTTTGCTACTAGTATATGATATGATAAAGGCAGTTATTGCAGATGTCATAATATGTTGCTGTTTTGTTAAACGTCATAACCTTACCCCACTCCCACTCCTTAAAAGTTAAATAAATAATTAAATGAATAAATAATATGAAACAAGGCATTTTTGCCATACCGCGTCCATGGAATGTTCTCTACTCCTTTTGGTATAAGAGAGTAGCTGGTATTTGGTCAAAGTGTTTACATCATAAATTCAACACATCATATGCAGTTTCCGTTTGGTGTTATGTTGTTTGAAATGTTGAGTTATTTATTATTATGAGGAAACATATTTTTAAACCTGTTTTCCTTTTTTACTTTGAGGTGTGTATTGTTGGATAATTCAGACATGTGGGACGATTTACTTACATAATTTGCAGACGGTTGAACAAAATACAAACTATTGAGAGGTTCATTTATATGAAATCATGTACACGTGGTTAACCTGGTTTCACTCTTCGTTTTAGGTGACTTTGCTATTTTAATGCAAAATGGACTGAGTTTTAAGGAGGCGCTCATAGCGAACCTTCTATCGTCACTAACGGCCCTGTTAGGATTCTTTATCGGAGTGTCACTATCTAAAGACGCTGGGGCCAGCCAGTGGATCTTCTCTATCGCAGCTGGTCTCTTTCTCTACATCTCCTTGGTTGACATGGTAAGGGAAAATGACCAACTAGATTTACGCTAGGCTTTGTGTTATTATCAGGGGAGACAATCCATGAAAGTTTATTGCAAATCAACGATTCATACACAAATGTATCATATGCAACGGGCTTCCACATGAGTAGGCACAGTGGTTACTGATTCGATGTCTTAAGTAAGACTTATCTTCGTTTGCGAAGATGAGTCTTACTTATCGCGTAAATGGCGTTGGAAGAATGATACCCAAAATTAGTTTTTGCGAAACTTTCTTCATTGCTTTCCCTCCATATCGTCCTTTCTTTGATTCATGTTCTTCAGTTAGACTTAAATGTAATAATATTCGGGCAAACCAGTAATTTCAGATATTTTGCCGAAATGCCAACCTTTGCTTTCGTGTGTTTCCTTTAAAAATAGTTCCGTCGCAGAATACTGAGTTTCTACTAATTATGCCTTCTCATGAATATATTCTGTATTAAAATTCTAAAACATATTCTAAGTTTAGTGAAATAAAATAGGAATTCATTATAGAGATGATTGATCAATGACATATAATATAAATAAATAACACAGTAACACTGGGATACCAGATTAGTATCCTGAATACTATTGTATAACGTGTATATAGCTATATGGTATCCCTGATAGTTCCCCCCAATCCCACAGATAAGTCCCAAACAACACAAAGACCATATGGTTCAGTAAAATGTTAATTGTATATGACTCTCTCTCCATCGACAAAATTAATTATAAATACGTGCGTCCTTATCTGCAACATGCAAGGATGCGGCGCTATCTGAAATCATAGTCTCCAGAAAAGAACCGAACTAACGACTAATTAGCCGTGTATTCACTTCTTTAATAATATTTATTTTTATTTTTTAGATTCCAGAACTGATCCGCACCGGGGCAGGTCGCCTGAGGACGATAATATACCACAACATTGGTATCGTCATCGGGATTTTAATTATCCTCCTTCTGTCAATATTCGAAGACAAAATACATATTTAGTTGTGACAACCTACACGGGACTTGTTTTTATAGAGGAACACATGGAGTGTACATATAACATTTTACTCTATATAAATATCATTTGTCGTCCTAAATGACATCATTTCTTATCACTTTTTTCTGTGTGACACGTTCTGTTGCTGACTATAAATCAGGGAGAACAGTTTCGCACCAGATGTCATGTTTGTTGAATCCTTAAGGAGACAGTTTGTTCTCCTGATTGGCCCACTCTTATAAATATGTAGTAAATCATTCTGTTCTGGATTCTAAAAGGTTCTTTACATACTGGAGTCCTTTTATCTGTAAGGTTATATGCACACTTTGGTGAGCAACATTAAAATACCAAGGTTCAGCTCTCGTCACACAAACCTTCGAGAATTCGATGTTGTCATAACATATTTCAAGGCTGAAGGAAAATACGTTCCTCGAGAGTGCATGTTCCGTTGGATTTAGAGAAAGCATGTTATGGGTCTGTTTTACCAACTTTTCAAATGACCACATCACCTGTATGTAACATCACAGAAACCATAGTAACCATCCAATGCAACTGTTTACTCCACTCTAGTTGGGTAGTCAGACTTGGAAATAAATCCTATCAGAAATTGTCGTTGTTTTCACAAGATCACGGTCACTTAGTGACTTTTGTTGTGATAAGCTCTGATCTGTGATTATTTTAAGACCAACATATGTCTTTACACATATGATTAGGTTTTTACTGCGACAATCAAATTTGATAATAATTTGCTCGTGGTGGATTTCTGTTTAAAACATCTGATTAATAATTCTTAGCTGCTAAGCTATGTTCGCGCTAAATAATACTGCAAATTATTAAAAAATAGTATTTTCAAGTTTAGTTCATTTCCGTCCTTGTCTAGCAAATCGAATGACCTACACAATAGTGCTGATAATGTAAAGTTGTACTTGTTGTGTCTTTAGCCCTCATATCATCTATAATCTACCCTGCAATAAACCGTATAAATATTCTTATATGTTATCATTTTCTTAGACCTTCATTTGTTGCATAACGATATCCCTGTTCGATTTTTGATTTAATAAGGTATGTTACCATACACATCGTATGTGTTACTTGTGATAGAGTTACTTCCCTTTTGGATCTTTTAAGATTTGATCAAGTATTATCAATGCTCGATAAGAGTTAAATAACTAGTACCCAGTACCATTCTAAAAGTCTAGTAGCATTCTAAAAGTCCAGTACCATTCTAAAAGTCCAGTACCATTCTAAAAGTCCAATGCCATTCTAAAAGTAAAGAAAATGTAACATACGACACAGTGAGGTAGCATACATCCTTAACATCATAATTTACTATTATTGAATTGTTTTAAATATCAAAATATATCAAACTGTTTGATAAGTTCTGTTTAAGTTCCTTTATGTTCCTCTTTGTTATCAGTAGCAATCACGTCGTCATATATGATAACTTTTGACAGAGACATAGTAATATGTAGAGTTACAAAAGAAAGTGTCCTGTATGATATTTATTCATCATGTTTTCTTGGTTTAAAGGACTCAAATTTGTGTTGGTATATCTGGGCCGATACACCAATATGCTACAGTGAATATATGAGTTTATACCAATGTTATTGTACTCCTATTAGGGTTTTGTCTGTGATCTAAAAATGTCGGAACACAATGGATATTCCATAGCATACAGTGTATAATAAATTGAGACTTTTGTTTTGTTTGTTTGTTTTAACATTAATTTCAGATGTATTGATCACACGATATAAAAGTTGACTTACCATTAGCTTAAATATTTCGTTTGCACAAGTTATTTTTGCAATTCAAAATCGGAGTTCCATGTTCCATCAAGCTACGTCATTGCAACATTATTAAAACAAATTTACACCATGACATCATTAAACTGTTCACATTATCACTTTCAAAATTAGATCCGGACCGATTTCGTTTGAATTACAAGTGTTTGTGTCAGTTTCCATGTAATGCCATTCTGTCAGATTGATAAGCCGTGAAAGAAAACAAAGGTGTTATCTTTTTCATTGACGATGACTTAGATGAAATCTCTCAGTATTGCTATTACAGAAGGACCAATATGTGTTCTGTATGTAATTATTCTGTACTTTAAAGGTCATTAAATGACAAGTATTTTATTAACAAAATCCAACTGATAAAATATATGCAATAATTGATAACATTAATAGCATTAAAACAGAAATTGTTTTCAAAAATATTTATTATTGTATTGCTTTGCCATTCTTCGCTATTGAGTTAATAGTTATGATATGTATATACTTTTGCTACATTAAAACATCAACATAAGACAAATTTGTTTTCTGTTTCTTTTGAAATGGGGATGGGCTGAGGTGGCCGGGTGGTTAAGACGTCTGGCCGTCTACAATCACAAGCACTCCACCACTCGGTCGCGGGTTCGTGGCATACGTGAAGAAGTGACAAGAAACTGGTTGAAGTTTGAAGCAACACCAAGCATACCATGGGATAGGAAAGTTATATTTCTTTTGATACTCATTAAAAATGAGTTAATTATCCATCTGTAAGTTGAAGTGAAATTCAAATCTTTAGATTAGAATAACTAATATTTGGGAGAATTGTTTTCAGTTTTCATATTATTTTAATCAAGGATGTCACCAAATTCGATCAAATTATGAAAGGTATCACCAGTTTCGTGAAATGTTTAAATATTTCTGTTCTAATTCAAGCTAAAAATGTAGATACCACCTGTGAAAGCAAAACTGAATTCAACAAGCTTCTTATCAAAGATATCACAGGATGTGAGTTAATTATTAAAGAATTCATCGAATTTGATTTAACTTTGAAAGGCATCTTTAAATTAACGTTGATTATAAAACATATCACCGAATTCGAAATAATGCAAGTTTTCATCTATATACTACTTTATACCACCTACTGGCAGCATGTTCATTATCATTTGTTGTCAGTATGAGAAGAAGTTGAGAACGACTTGAGAACATCTTGAGAACAACTTGAGAACGAATTTTCCTATTTCCCAGCACTTGGGAACGTATTTTCTCATGAAAGAACGTCTGCTCGCGTCAGATGACGTCCGAAATCGGAAATAGTGTCCACACAAAAGTGATCCGCGTAAGAAAATAGTCCGTCATAAACATATCAAAACAAAGTTACGGGAAAATTTTGTGAGAATAGCAACAACATTTCAGGTGTCAATGTGCATATGGAAAAGCCAATGACGATAGGATTGTTTTTAAAATATTTATTCTACGTAGTTTTAAGGTTCATTATATTCCTCCGCACAAAACTTCTATTTGTTTACGTTTTTCAAATCGTTTACCATTGAGCTTAGAAGTCAGTTGGAAAACATGGTGTTGAGTGGAATTTTTTAAATGGAGAAATATATAAGGTAGTAGTATATAGATGATAAATAGTTTATCATACAGTATTTTCAATGTTTGTCTTTCGAACAATTTTCTCATCGCTCTCACGTTGATAAAACCTGCGGTGGCCTCTCGATTTTATCCACGCGCTCGCGATGAGAAATTGTTCCCACGACAAACACTGAAAAAACAGTGTGATCATCTATTATTACCACCGAATTCGACTTAACTATGAAAAGTATCACCGAATTCGGGCAAATGATGTAAGTATCACCAGACTTGAGTAAATTGGGTATCACTAAGTTTTAGTTCCTCGGATTTCGATGTATTTATTTTAGGGCTGCGGTGGATGTGTGGTTAAGGCGTCTGACCGTCTACGATCACTAGTTCTCCACCACTCGGTCGCGGGTTAGTGGTCTACGATCACTAGTCCTCCACCACTCGGTCGCGGGTTAGATGTCTACGATCAGTAGTCCTCCACCACTCGGTCGCGGGTTAGTGTTCTACGATCACTAATCCTCCACCACTCGGTCGCGGGTTAGTGGTCTACGATCACTAGTCCTCCACCACTCGGTCACGGGTTAGTCGTCTACGATCACTAGTCCTCCACCACTCGGGCGCGGGTTAGTGTTCTACGATCACTAGTCCTCCACCTCTCGGTCGCAGGTTAGTGGTCTACGATCACTAGTCCTCAACCACTCGGCCGCGGGTTAGTGGTCTACGATCATTAGTCCTCCACCACTCGGTCGCGTGTTAGATGTCTACGATCAGTAGTCCTCCACCCCTCGGTCGCGGATAAGTCCTCCACCACTCGGACGCGGGTAAGTGGTCGACGATCACTAGTCCTCCACCACTCGGGCGCGGGTTAGTGTTCTACGATCACTAGTCCTCCACCCCTCGGTTGCGGGTTAGTGGTCTACGATCACTAGTCCTCCACCACTCGGTCGCGGATAAGTCCTCCACCACTCGGTCGCGGGTAAGTGGTCTACGATCACTAGTCCTCCACCCCTCGGTCGCGGGTTAGTGGTCTACGATCCCTAGTCCTCCACCACTCGGTCGCAGGTTAGGGTTCTACGATCACTAGTCCTCCACCACGCGGTCGCGGGTTAGATGTCTACGATCACTAGTCCTCCACCACTCGGTCGCAGGTTAGTGTTCTACGATCACTAGTCCTCCACCACTCGGTCGCGGGTTAGTGGTCTACGTTCACTAGTCCTCCACCACTCGGTCGCGGGTAAGTGGTCTACGATCACTACTCCTCCACCACTCGGTCGCGGGTTAGTGGTCTACGATCACTAGTCCTCCACCACCCGGTCGCGGGTAAGTGGTCTACGATCAGTACTCCTCCACCACTCGGTCGCGGGTTAGGGGTCTACGATCACTAGTCCTCCCCCACTCGGTCGCAGGTTAGTGTTCTACGATCATTAGTCCTCCACCACTCGGTCGCAGGTTAGTGTTCTACGATCATTAGTCCTCCACCACTCGGTCGCGGGTTAGGGGTCTACGATCACTAGTCCTCCACCACCCGGTCGCGGGTAAGTGGTCTACGATCAGTACTCCTCCACCACTCGGTCGCGGGTTAGGGGTCTACGTTCACTAGTCCTCCACCACTCGGTCGCGGGTTAGTGGTCTACGAAGGGCAGTCCCCATATACTTGTTGCAGGTCGGTTGGTTTTCTCCGGGTTCTATGGTTTAAAACCATGGCACATTCTTAAATGTCCTTACTTGTACCTTTTATTAGGAGGTAAACAACAAACGACAAATCACACCCTTTTAAATCGGTCTTTTTTATTAATTCAGTTAAAACTTTAGGAGCATACTATTGTAAAATCTAAAATCTGTTAATTTATGGAAAATCTGTCTAGATAAATTATGCAAAATATCGAAAACATTCTTCACCACTCATTTATATATTAAATGTTGGCCTCATTGTGATTCTACTCACAGTCCCCCTACCATAGGCTGCGTCGTCTCCTTCGTAACATGTTTGGATTTTATAATGAAAATTATATCAGGTGTAGTTGGAAATTACAAGTCGACGAATATATAAATGTTTCATATATATTGTATATATTACAGACAAGAATCTTGCTAGACATGTTATCGCACGTTACAAAATGTCGTTCATTCACCATACATTTATCATTTCTTCGTACAATTGTAATAACGTGCTCCGTTTAAAAATATTATTAAGAACGAACAATACCACAAAAATTAAAATGTCGAAAGTACACGTAACGTGTAGCTTTTAATACATCTAAATGACATCTAATCTAGACTGTTTTCGAGTTCTTGTTTCTTGTTGAGGATGTTCGCGAAACACACTGTATTCCATACAAAAGGAAATGATAAGACTCCTACTGAAAATAATACGTACAAAAGAACTCAATACTAATTCTACGTAAACATGAACTGATACTGATAACAAGAGGCCAAGGGCCACGTAGTTCTCTTGGCATATCACTGAAGTGCTTGAAACTGCTGAATCCTGTTGTCAGGTCCCGGAAACAAAATACCTTGCATTAATTCTGTTACATAATTAAACAATAACATATTTTTTTCAAAAAAATAGAAATGTGTCTGTAAGACACGGATGCCTCGCTCCCTGTTTGACCATATAAAGGCATGTGTGCTATTTTTAGCATGTCAAAATTCATATCTTATAAAAGAGTACTAATTAATTAATTTTGAATACATTTTTAAGAAAAAATACCATTTATTGTATCAAACTTGCAATCGGGCATCACACTATTCTCCAACAAATGTATAGTTATATCACTGATGCGATTACAAGCAAAACTCCGGCAGAATTTTAGATCCGTGGCTATAGTCTTTGGGCTATAAATACCCAGAGAACTAAACACCCGGACGACTCTACTGATCAAACTTTGGCAAGTACGTCAACTGAACATACATAAACAGGTATAGCATGTATTATTGATGAGATACACACACAAGTGATATTACTGATGATAAGCAATAGCAAACGTGATGACTAAGGCACTCGTTCCGACAAAAACTATGAAAAAATACAACCAAAGGAACAAGCAGTCGAGTGTTCGGGCTACATCTCTCCAGGTTACCTCTTCTTTTCCCGCCAATTTGTCCAAAGTCAAAGATATGTCGACGTTCTCCTCGGTTGTGGGGATTGTATCTACACTATCTGAGACCTTTTCTCGATGTTTAATCTTTGCACACCATTTGCTGATCAAGTTCATTCTACAAAATTGCTGGAGTAGTTTCGGAACTGGCTTGACCTCGTCGGCATGGTGACAGTCAAGGACAAAAATGGTCAAGACCACTGACAGCATTCCAAGGATAAGTGTTGTGACAAGATAGATTGCTGGAAAAGACATAGAAACATATAACATAAATATTTACCAAAAGATCTTACACATAATGTAGATTTTATATCAAATTGAATTATTTATTAATACGATCTCTGAATTGTTCATTCCCACATACATATCGAAGTCGATCTTTGTGACCAGTTCCTACATAACATCGGGTATATTAAAATATCTTCAACATATCGTTGTTTATATAGTTACAATTGCTATGGGTTTCATAATACATATACAATAAATAAGATATAACGACCGACTTCAGAACTATCACCTTTCACCATTCAAAGGGCTCTTCAGATTTATTTCAAAAGGACAATTGCATGTATTTACACTACATGTGAGCAATAGGCTGCTTTAAGAAAAACAACAAATAGAAATATTATAGAACAATCAGAAGGACGATACACAACAAATAGGACTAGAATATGATGCTAATATTACGTATTAGATCAACGGTAAAATTCCATAAAATACTAGATCCCTAAAAATGTATGTTTGTAGGATATGAATTAAGAATACAAAAATAGGTAAGTGTGGCAAGGTACATTGTATTGATTCCAATAGTGTAGACAGTATGAGGTTGTCAATGTTTCTGAGCAATCCGCTCTATACAGATTGACAACGACGACACGAAACTCTGTATTTCGATAAAGGAGCGGGTTGCTACGAAAATTTTACAATCTCATACTTTCTACACTGTCGGAATTTATTCCTTGCCCCATGCACCAATTTTCAAAATTCGCATCCTGCAAACATACGTTAGTAAGGGTACAGTGTTTTATGAAATTTTACAGTTGGTATTACTTCTTTGACTCGTATATACTGGTATATAATATGTATATATACTTCTCATTTTCATTGTATAGCAATTAAGAGTCAGTGAAAAATCTACAAAGAAAATTATATGAAAACATATGCTTACATAAAAGTGAAACTGTCGTGGAGGAGGAAGGGGTGCTGTCCGCTACCAACGTCAAGTAAACAGCATACGACAGGACAATTGTCAGCGCGTACCCAATCTTTTCACCCGAGTCGGCAGGAAGCTTGAACACCATACACGTGAGAAAGGCAAGTGATATTGTGGGAATAAAAGTGTTCAGTACATGGTATAGTGGCCTACGCTTCAATACGAAATTAAAAATCAAAACGGAGTATGTCAAACTTTCTCTTGTCACGAGCTCTCTAGAAGTTGAATACCCATTGTAAATCCATTCTCCATTCTCATTCAAATCTTCCGTATCCACAGGATTGGGGTTGAAAACGAGATTTACTTCTTTCATACTGTAAGCTAACGACGTCAAACTGATGGAACATATTTGTGTATCAAACGGATATAGTTGTATATCTACATCACAGTAGGTAGCAAATATTCCCGAAGGTCTCCAGGTTAGCGATCCCTTGGAATCTACCAAAATTGGACTGCCGCTGTCACTTATCACCGATATGTCGCTAATCCTGAAAGACACGGAATAACAGCGATACATTTGTTATCCCCAAACTCAATGCCTCATCAAGAGATCGAAAGTAGAATGTGTGTAATGGGTGCCTGAGGCTTCAGAACCGCAAAATTTACAATAAACGTTCTATAAACCACTTATGTCAGGCGGGATTACACCTGAATGATTTTTTATTTGAAATTGTTCGGGGTTTTCCGTCAAAATGTTAAGACCATCGAGGACAATAATGGCATGATGACGTCACCGCACGTGAACCTACCGCGCACTATGGAATAGGTATGGCCGAAACTGTGTTGCATTCACATCACAATATTGAAAATACGTTTCAGTTGTTGTCGTATATAATAATTGAACAATGTGTTACGTTTGACATTGAAATACATGTGCTTACATCAAATGCCAAGATAACTAAAGAATAAAATGACTACATATGTAATACCATTGTAATTGTTTTCCAGGTGTAAATTAGTAAGGCATTAGCAAGGAAACATGCAATATAGACTCATGCACAATTTCACAGTTTCACAGCCATCTGCAACCCAATGTGACATACAAAGACCAAGCGGAAAAATCATTGGGAATTTTCGTCCAAACAATGACTATTGAACGGAGTAATATCATTTCACGAATCCTTATTTGTAAACGATGAAAACGTTCTGGCGAAACTTCATAAATTTATTTACCAGTATTGGAAATATTGGTTTCGTAGTATATAAAAGTGTAAAACTTTGGAATGTTTATCACAATTATCAGTTCTTTAATTCCATGAGATATCTTGTGTTTATTCTTTGCATACCATTATCAAATCAAACAATATTATCTTTCCAAGGAAAAAGGCTGGCCTCTCGAACGACACAGTCAGAATCATACAAACATCGAACTTTATAGACATTACAGTAAACCCTTTTGTATGAGTAATTACAAAAAGTATACATCGGGTATATCAAAATAATAAATATCAGTATTTGAAGAATCAATAATGGTAAAAAAGTTATTTTAGGTGTTGACCATTGACATTTAGGAAATCGACAGGAAAAACAGCAACACATTTCCATCAGCAATGTTCATGTAGATTTTTTTTTAAATTTAACATCACATATTCTTTCACACGTATTCTATTAGAAAAATGACAAAAAAAAACCCACAGCCGACAGTATGTCAATAATGTAAAATATATATAATGAATGAATTAATTAAAATTCTGCCGTTATTTTTAAAACAAAATATGAAAGATATATTTGAAAACATGTATGACTACAAAGTTAAGTAACTGATGTTACGGTGTTTGTAGGAATACTCACGAATTCTCTACGATCAATGCTGGATGCCAAACGTATTCTTCTGACGTAAAAATGACTGGAACGTCCAGATTGTATGGCATTAAATCATCCCAGAATAGGCGACCATCCGTCCACCTCTACACAGGAATACATTATTGGCGTTTTAATCTGTTTTCTATATAACATCGGGTATATCAAAATATCTTCAACATATCGTTGTTTACATAGATACAAGTGTTATGGGCTTCAAAATATATATAAAATAAATAAGATATAACGACCGACTTCAGAGCTATCATCTTTCACCCTTAAAGAGGCTTTTCAGATTTATTTCAAAAGGACAATTGCGCGTATTCACACTACATGTGAGCAATAGGCTCTTTTGTCGAGAAACACAAAATAGTTACATTACGTGAAAATATACACAGATCGACGATTTGAAATATCAGAGGACGATACAAAACAAATAGGACTAGATTATGATGCAAATATTACTTATTATATCAACGGTAAAGTGCCATATAACACTAGATCCTTTAAATGTATGTTTGTATGATATGAATGACTTAAGAATACTTAAAAATGGTAAATGTGGCAAGGTACATATGTTTCCTAGAACAGATTAATTATTGCAATTTCAGAAATGTTTGAAACAATGCAAATAATACAATGCGATAGGGAAGTTATATTTCTTCTGATATTCATTAAAATATGAGTTAATTATCCATCTGTAATTTTAAGTGAAATTCAAATATTTAGATTAGAATAACTAATTTTTGTAAGAATGTTTTTCGGTTTTCACATTGTTTTAATCAAAGATGTTACAAAATTCGATTTAATTATGAAAGGTATCACCAGTATCGTGAAAAGTTCGAAAAATATATGTTCGAATTCGAGTAAAATATGACAGATACTACTTGAGTCAAGTTATTTATGAAAGTAAAACTGAATTCAATAAGCTACTTATCAGAGGTATCACAGAATTTGAGTTCATTATTTGTAAAGGTTTCATTGAATTTGATTTTACTTTGAAAGGCATCATTAAAACGTTAATTATAAAAGGTGTTATAAAATTCGAAACAATTAAGCAAGTTAAACCGAATTCCTGCTAACTTTTAAAAGTTTAATCGAATTCGAGTAAATATAAAGTATTAACAGATTTGAGTAAATTAGGTATCTCCGAATTTTTGTTCCTTGGATTTCGATGTATTTATTTAAGATGCTTGACGAATGTTTACGATAGTTTTCTTCCCATACTTGCTTTTTAACTGCATATCAAATGTATGTATTAACAGGTTACTTACCATGAAAAAGTATCCTGTCGTTGTTAACTGCTGGTCTCTGATATTCTAAAATTTAAAAAAAAACTATTAAATTAAAGGTTTAAAGTAGTCATTTATTTTACAAACACACTGTCAATTAGATATCTATTTTTAAAATTCTCATTTTAATAATATATTTGATATTAAGAGACATAAAGGGACTCTTTATAAGCCCAGGGCAAAACAGATTTCACTTTAAATAACACACATGTTTTGACAATTATACATCGTAGACGTCATAACCGCATTAACATTAGGGGTATAACTACTCGAAATGCATTTAAAGGGACAAACATGACGAAAGACGTGATATGTTTATAGATAGACTATTCAAATAAATTATATTCGGGTATACTGATGGTTGATAGTTATTTACAAGCTACATATCCTCAAGTCAGCATGTGGAACTCATAAAAATCGAATAACCGTATTTGTTATTGATTCCTTTCGCGGATCATTGCGTACTTGAATATGAATATTGTGTGGAAGTTAAATTACTACAACTTTATTTTGTACTTTCGTGTGTATTGTATTACGTAATAATGTACGTCCGCTACATATAACATTATTTGATTGTACCTTCAAAATAAAAGCATTCTCACACAGAGCTGTGTAACAGCGAAAGGCCTTGAGAAGCAGTCTTCATGTGATTTTTAAATTTCGTATCATATTCCTGTCATGCAGAATACAATCCAATTTTTGCATCAAATATAAATACATAAGTGTCAAAATGACAATAAACAAAATTGTTTCTATAAATCAATATCAAAACACAATATTATAGATTATTAAGTCTCGATATTTCGAAGATATTAAGCCCATGACTAAGTCACATTAGTTCTGCACTTACCATTTTTGACAATATCTATGAAGAGCAATTATCCATAATGAAAACATGGAATCACTTGAGTTTTATAAAATAAGGTTTGAAAAAGTCGAGCAAACCATATTTTGAAATAGTTTTGAGATAATGTATACCATTTGTATGAACAATTTTTCAGATTTAAGTGTACATGGGTAACAACAGATACAAAATTAGTATCAAAGCGTCAACACATTTGATCAAAAACTGAATGAAGAGCTAGCATATAACGGAAAATAACGATGACCGAGGAGACATCAAAACCAAGGAGAAATTAACATCGAACTTTCAAAACAATACAAATAAATAACTCCTTACCAAATCGTTGAAATTGATGATATTTAACGACACATCAACATTTACAGTAGGCTCTGGACGCGCAAATAGGTTGTAAGAGTTGTTCTTAAACAGAAGTGTTCGGAGTTCATTCTCCTTGTCAAAACTGTAGTCTTGGCAGACGAATGCTCGCAACGCTATCGGTAAAAAAAAATGAAAAGGTTTTTGAGCAGATTAATTAAATAAGATTTGAATTTAGTCAACGTAATAGTACGAGAAGATCAACATATATTGCACTTACACTTGTCATGTGACCAGCGATGCTCAGCGTCACGTGTTAGATATCCTAGTACATGTATATGTTTGTATATTGGTAAGTGTAGGTACTCGACCTGGATCTCATAGAACTCGGGTATTCTCCTTCGTCAGTTGTTATATTCCCGATTTTAATGTCTTGTGTTGTCGTAGCTCACCAACTGTAGTGATGAACGCTAATTTGGTGTTCATTTTTTAAGCTCTCGCGTTGTCACCGATGTTAGTTTTATCGCTAAAGATTTTATTAATTAAACGTTTTTTTCAAAGACCAAAATACAACTTTTCATGATTTTTAGACGCCCTTTCCTCAGATTTTGTTTTTTTTGCCTTTTTTTCTGACCCCTGTTCACTATCATACCTGTCTTCAATGTAAAGGAACGCCTGTGTTCAACCATGGCTATATGTATTTTTCATGTAAAATGTACACTATGGTTTTGGTGCTTTCTGATTATACACATTTTATCATTTAAGTTGTATTTCTTGTGGTATTACTGTCCTATCATAAGCTGTATACATTGTATAAAATATGCAGTTGTATTTATTTTAACAAACATGAAACATTATACATGTACATTTATGTTTATATTGCATTTCAAACACTTAATATCATTTGTGATTTAATATCATATCACATCATATATAATTTTATATTATATAACATCATATATAATTTTATATTATATAACATCATTAATAAAATAATATAATATCATTTATAATTTGATATGATATAATATAATATCATATATGATTTTATATAATATAATATATATAATTTCACGTTGTTACTCCATCTGATATAAACAGTTGCCATTTTATTTTAAATCAAGTGGCATTTATTTCTTTTTATGCATTTCATAACGCAATTTGTTATATGTAGTTATATTGCGATCGCGTATTAAGTTTTCTGTATTTACTGTTAACTGCAACAGGCCTATCACGTCTTTGTTCTTCAAGATATACAATACTATAAGTAAATAGTTAGTTGGATACTCCAATTGTATGTTATAAACAACTTAACATAAACATAAATGTAACACACAAACAGATTGGTAATAGATACAATATGGAAAAGACAAAAAATACACTGCATCATACAGCTGTTTCGTCTTTCTAGGATTCATGGATGATGGTAGGGGCTAAACATTTGTAAATCCTGATACGTCTAAAATACCGTTGAAACAGTAGGGAAGGTACCTAAATAATATAAAGGAATTTGATAATGTTATCAGCATTACATGGTAAATTTGTTTCATTACTCCTATTTCTATGAACTGTTTTTCAAACATGTAAAGTGTATGTAAAATAACATCTTCAGTAATATGGAGTATATTAATGTATACTTATACTGAACGTGTTTGTTTACCTGTTTAAAAGCGTTATACGTTATTGTTATTATTCAGTGAATGCTATTTATTAGTAACTATATCTGCTTTTCAGAAATATACGTTACAGAAATCTGAGTTGAAGTGATGTGATGATAGCTACATTTCATTACTAAATCCTTTTTCACGTAAGACGGTATTAGTCAGAACATTAATCTACAGGAGAAAAAATCAAATTCAAAAGTTTAGTCATAAACGGAACCGCTGTAAATACATTCTACTTTACCTGTCGAAATTAGCCAACTGATAATCAGGACCCTCATATTTGTGTCGTTTCAACTGTTGCTGGAGTGTCCAAAAAAACCTCACAAGTGCATATTATCCGTTTTAACCAGCGATTTTCTTGCACAACTCATGTGTACATAAATGAATAACTTTTGAAACCTATCACTAGACATATAGACTGCCATTAAAAATTTGTTTACGTATATATACTTTAAAAAAAAAGATAAACTGAAAACTGACACGCTGACTGCGCTCACTTACCCGATATGATTGGCATGGTACCAACAGAGCAAGTCAGGCAAGCTTGTTTTCAATCTAGTAAAAAAAACGAAGAGAACAAATTCTAAAATTTCCTACCTAGCTTTATTTTTTCACTTGCTTTGGTTGACAATACCTGTTTTTATGAGATCCATGTTTTATTTCAAGTTTGTAAAAAAAAATTAAATTGTTTTCCGATCTATGACTCAGAATCCCCGTTGATATTTAGTTAAGCTTGAACGGCTGTTTAACTATGCCGTCTCTATTTGTGATAATGTCACGATCTATTCTACCAGAATAAAAACATAGATGATTTGGCATTTAGCTAATGTGAATACATGGGAAGATGATCATTACATACAAATTTGCTAGAGGGGTAACTGGTACAGAAAGCACCGACACTCAAGTTACTTTAAACATTTTTAAACACTAATGGGTTCCAATCGTTGATGAAAAGGGGTAGATGCTTTCTAGCTAGCAATTACAGTTGGTGTTTAGTGTTGATGTAAAAATGGTATTATTTATGTATTCACTTACCGTACTCGGCACCAGTAAAAATCAGTCCAACATTCATATACAAAATGAGATAATTGCCTCTGTTAAACATGTAAGTATATGGTGGCACATTTCTGCCATAGACAAAGGTCTTAGGTATGTCAACATATTTTTCAAAAGATGTCGACACGATCTGAAAAGATGTTAACATATTGTTTAAATTGCCGACATATCATCACATTTGCTGAGATATCTATACGTAAGTAAATAACACGGCTTTTCATTATGTAAATGCTCAGATATGATGCCAACTTACCACTTAATTAAGCAAAACAGAAAAAGGGCAGTTCATTTTTTTCCAAGAAAGGGCCATGTGATTAAGTATTAAGTATTAAGTCTACTTATCATTATACCTTGTGTTTGGTTAAATATGTCGGAATTATAACCGTGAGATACATAATTATCTAGTCGTTGTCACTCCCAAGTAAACACCAGAAATCAAAAAGCCAATTACGTAATAATCTAACCAATTGTTTTTAGGATAATGCGAAATTATGAATTAATAAAGCATGTCGACATATTACCATATTAAGTCTTCATCATAAAAAAAATATTTTGACATACGTAACTCAAAACTTACGTTAGTTGTATGCCGATGGTAGAAATTTGCTACAATAAATAAGTCAAGTTTGTGCTTTTTGATAAAAAAAAAAAAAAAAAACAATTATCCCTTTGTTTTTGTTTCGTTGTGGGATCTAATTATGTCTTTCGTTTGTTCGTTTAGCCCTACATTCCTGGTGTTGTTTGTCCTTTTGTTTTGCGGTTCCTCAGTCCTGATGTTGTCTTCTCCTTTTGTTTTGCTTCCTCTTGTTTTGGTGTGCTTTCGCTTCATGTTGTTATCTTCATTTCTTCATTTTGGTTTTGGTGTGGCATTGCTTTCTGTTATTGTATTTTCGTTTAGACTTTCAGTGCTATTTCGACTTTGTGAGTTGATGTAATGCTCACTTCTTTTTTTTCCACTTGACCTGAGATAGAGTAAGCAAAAATTAAAGTTTCTGCATTTTGATGAAAACGTACTCTTTTTCACAACAGCAAGTGAATAGCATTGTATTGGGAGCTATTTTCAGTGACAAGGTATTAAGTTTGACATTGCCTCATTTTCCCCCCTTATCTATGCCAGGGTATAACACGAAAACGGTTACTGCGGAAAATCTACATCTCCTCTGTTTATAATTGATACTTGATAGACCTCACACTCTCTTAATTTTAGTAGTAACCTGAATCTGTGTTTGTCGAACAACTTTAAGATGTTTGGGTACATTAATACAGACTGTTCGTATGATTTCATCCCTATTATTATAGCGCTTGGTTTATCTAGGACTTCTGGGGTGGTTCTACGTCGTGTCACTTTTACTTACATTAACCTGACTTAAGCCGTATGCAGTTACTCAAAAATGAAAAAGGATACGAAATTTAGAGTGTTTTTAACAACAAAATTTGATAATATACTAACTTGAGCACGATAAACTGTCATACGAGTTACTCGAGCCAGAGACACGATAACTCGAATTACACACATGAAATCTCCAGTCGCACATACGATAACTCGAGTCAGATACACGATACCTCGAATCAAATATATGATAATTCGAGTCAATACACGATAGCTCGAGTCAGATACACGATAAATCGAGTCAATACACGATAACTCGAGTCCATACAAGATATATCGAGTCGACACGATCATTTGAGTCAGATACAGGTGAAATCGAGTCATATACACGAAATGCAAATACACTAAAGGCATTTTTTCATGATTGCGAAACATCTTTTAATCACATTTTTTCACCATATAAAATACTTTAAACACAGTATCGAAGTTAAAGTCGACCTGGTGGTTTTTTTATGCTTGCCATTGATTGGCGAACACCTCGTCGTACCGCCGGGGACTTACTATTCTAGCACATAGATCATGTACTGAAAGTTTCCGATAAAGTGGGTTTCTTGATAAAAATGCATGCGCCTGCATATAATCAATGCACGTGCAACGCTTTTTTCAAATCCTTCCCCGTATTGAAAATGTTAGCATGCGAGTCGTGTACGGTATGATGTACTTTGTTGAGTGAAGCAACATGCGTGCACGTACATAGCCTATCATTTCCACATACACAGTGTTAAACTGTGGCAGGAAATTTGTCCGTTTAGATCATCTTTACCAACTGACAATTTCCGATCAACACATTCTGAGCTAGATATATTCAACAACTATATGTCACCTATCCTCTAGCGTATAATAGTTAATTTCATGTTTTATATATACCTAAATGTACATTTGTTCATTCAAGGAGTGTCATCTTTCACGAGGGCGAAGTGTAACACGTCTCGGAGAACACTTCGGCCCCTTGTCCTGACTCTATCGACAAGGACTACTCGCCGCCATAATATTATCGTTTGCGTCAATCCCCGTCGATCTCAGGGGCAATAGCTCTTTCTGACTTATTATAATCAAAGTGAGGCCCAGAAGGAAACCTGGCCGGGGGAACTCGGTCACAAGGGGGAACATCCTTTTTTAATCGGTAATCAACCTAATCATTATATTTTAGGTATTTTTATTCAATCAAATGGTTGAAACAATTGGTGATGGCTGATTGTTACAAGGTCCAATATTACAAGAGTCCCCAACACAAACACGTACAAGATACGAAGTACAAGATACAGGAATCTTTATTTAGAATTGCATACATACGAACAAGAATATTCAACTATTTGAGCTATTATTGCGACAAAACTTTGTATAAAAACAATAAAACATTGTAATAGCACAGCTAGGGGTAATCGCAGATTATTCATAAATACCTTTAAACCATCTATCATAATGAAAGAGAAAAGTATCATATCTCAGCTTAGTGAGTGATCGGGAATCCCCTACCTACAGACAGACGCCCCCAAAACCCGGCCGCTTTTACCCCCTGACCCAAAACTTTGTTCAGTGGTGTAATAATCCACTTACCCAACGCCAAGGACAACCAATTGTAAGAGCTAGGGCAAGTTCAGGTTCGGTTCCTTTAACATGTTTTTGTATGTGTTTCTCCATTCCGTCAAATAAAGGCGAATAAATAATTGTCTGAACTGACCATAGTCTAGTATGATACACAATTATGAAACATGAACAAAAAACAAAAAAACCTTTCAAATCTACCTCACCAACACGTGGAGTCTATCACAAGCAGAGCTTAATTTCTTCTGTGACATGATTTATATTGATGGAAATTATGCCGAAGTACATTGATTGAGACGGACACTATAGGCGCTAAGTGTGATTGTACGAACATATATCACAAGAAATACCGTAATGTTTCATACAAAACAATGCTGATTGTTAGGAGTCGACGCTGCAGTAAAGTGCATCCTGCCCGCAAGGTCATTAATGAGTAGTGCATTTAAACAAGACATAAACAAAACACTTACATATTAAACTATGTTACGCTTTAGACCACTTGACATTTCCCGGTACTTGAGTAAAGGCCCGCTGTGTCTGTAATATGTGTCACCGAGCCAGTGTAACCTGGATCAAACTAGTTTGTAAAATCATTTAGATTAGAGAAATCCTTACTACGCTCACCTGTCAAGGAAACCCTTTTGATTGATAGCAATAAACATTCACAGTATCTTCCATCATTGGAAAGCTCGTTGGAGCTTGTTTCGATGCCTTAATATTTTTTTCAAACACTGTATAATTAGTTGAATATATCTAAATAAAACTCTTTATCAACATTTTAGAATACGCAAGTTTATCATATAATTATTTTCGTGTTGATTTGCTTCGATTTGGTGTTGAAGTTATTTGAATCCCTCCATGAGCATTGAAATGATTTGGACACTTTTCGACGAAAACAACCCTTTCTGCTCTATGTTCCTTACTATTCACCAATGGCACCGAAATACTCAGGATCATAGAGAAGGCAGGGGGCAGGTTAACGCTACAAAACAATGTAGACATTGTGGGAGGATGGAGAAGTTAATGGCAGCTGCAAACGCTACAAGAAAAACCAAACACTTGCATATTGAAAAAATACTACAACAAATGCCCTTATCATGCTCCGTCAATAAACTCGTCTTGACACAGAATCAAAGAAAGGCATAGCATCATATCAGACTCTAACCTAACATTTGAGGATCATCCAACAGAGAAAAAAAACCAAGTCGTTTAAGCCATTTACACATTTTAGCCACAAACCAATATGCATAGAACACTTGTTAGGAAAATTGCCAAGAACAAAGTTGCTCGCTTCTCAGACAAAAATATCCAACGTCATACCATATGCACGTTAACGGCTCGAAATTGACAATCTGCATTATAAATATTCTGTTTTGACGTTATATGTATTTTTTGATGTTGTTCGAGTCCTGTTGTTGCAGATTAAAAAATCTTAACTTTGAAAAAGTGTGTTCTTTTAAGGAAGGACTACCTTTTAAGCGGGAACATTCAAATGTTCTAAGTGATTAATAAATGAATGAATGAATGAATGAATGAATTGATGAATGAATTATTTGAAGAACAAAAATGAATACATTAAATGTATGAATTGAATGAATGCATAAATAAATGATTTGAGGACATGACGGAAAATGTGTATTAACTTGTATTGCTCAGTCATTTATCCTCTTTAAATAAAGAATTTATTATTATTGTTATTGTTATTATTACTATATAGCTTAAGTAGTGCATGGGCGATATTTATTTGAGGCCCCAGACGGGATACCTGTAGTCTTTCACTTTAGGCTTGGACTGTGAGAACCTGATCTCACGCAGTAACAGGTTATACGTTTTATTAGTCCTACCTAACTTTGCATTGTATTTTGCTAAATATCTACCAAGTTTCCATCTTCGCTAGCCTAGGGTAACGATCCCGTACGATAGGATCCGGTACGATACGATCCGGGTACGATACGATCCGGTCTACATACACTCCTGGTACCCTGGACTAGAGAAGATGCCAAGTTTCTTGCATCAGAAACCTTTTCAATACAGAACCCAAAGTGTTCCACCAGGTTTTAAGGGAAATGTGATGTTAAATTCAAACCATTTCATAAGATTGTTCTACACAAATCCACGAAAATAAACTCGTCTTGGCACAGACTCATGTTTTCATTTAAATTTGTATGTACTGTATGTACTTATGATTCACATATCGATGTTAATTGACAGAGCTTGGTTTTAGCTGCAGTTTCTTGATATATATATGTGGTGTTTACCACGAAACTACCTCCAACTAGTTCCTGTCTAAACGCCTTCAATCTACGTTGAGGAAATCTTTAAATAATCAACATGACCAGATTTGCAGGTTTTGATTTTAATATAAAAAATATCCTTCTAGATAACATGTTTTATCTGCAGTTTGTGGAGATAAGTAATATATTCCCTTTGTTGCTTTGCTATCACCAGAGAGAGAGGAGCTTTGTTTTATGGGTATCGTGTTGGTTTTAGATTTGTCATATGAAGAAAGCATCTAGCGGTTTATACTATACAGTGTTGTGCTGGTAGCAATTGAAAAATAAAACAGGTATAATTAAGAAATATTCGACGTATTTGCGTGTATAATGTTGGAATATATAACTGGGGTGGGACAATGTTGGACAAACTAATTAACGAAGACCGCTTGCGGCCTGGGTTGGTTTTATATACATTTTTGTATGTACCATAATATACAAATATATGGCGATTATATCTATTCTACCAAGTCAAATGTAACGAAAGACTTTTTCGTGGTTAGCTCAGTGTCCTTTGATAAGCAAAAATACCTATATAATGCAAATATTTTAATTAAGCTGTTCGTTTACGCTCGCTAACAAACATCACGTGATGTCTATATATGTCTTCATTTTACTTCAAGCTGCGCGTTTTTATCATTTATCTATTTTGTCTATCTAACCTTGATATTTTTGGAAAGGATTTTCTTTAGTTCAGTCGCCAATCGGTCGACAGAGGATAAACAATAAACACTGACGTCATATTTTATGCCAGATGTTTATATCAATCAATCAAATCCGCCTATTTATCAAAATAACTCGTCAACACACGAAATCAGCGTTTGACATTATTTCAAGCTTGTCCTCTCAGTAAGTTTAGCGGAACATTCTGGCCGTGACTTTGACAGATTTTAAGTAGACCTAGAGGTTAAATATATTATGTTTGACCACTAGCAAATCTTCAAATAAATACATAATTAAATGCGGGACTCCTCGATCATTTCACAGATGTAACTAATCCCGCGACTCGCCTGTTTACCGGTACACTTGCGGGGAGGCTTTTGGAAGAGCGTTGGCCTGCTGGAAAAGAATACACGCGCGCGCATGGTCTATCGTCCATTCTAACACGATTCGTTTGCAACGCGTGTTTTGATTGGATACGGACCATGTTCTAATTTGTAATAGAATCATGATCAATCGTATAAATTAAGCTCCTCCCATCGCCACGCCCCGTTTCTAACCAAACCAATATGGCGTCAAGATCGCCTCTTAGCGAAATCCCGCTGATAAGGCTAGCAGGCAACAGAACAGAAAGGACCGATGGAATGTATTTGTTGAATGAAGTAAAATATAAAAAGTAAACGTTCCTTGTTCTTACCTCTATTTATTACTGAAACGTTCCTTCCATCCGTGTGAAGGCATCTAGTTAGATCCGAAATCAAATGAATCATTTCACATGCGTCGTATGCCCAGTACAATCTCAAAGGTCACTTCTGTGAAGATACCAGTACCAGCAAGTATCTTGGGGTGGATCTCTCAGCAAATCTCACACGAAAACATCATACCGATAGAGTTTATTAGAAGGCGAACAGCACGCTTGGATTCCGCAGAAGAAATCTGAAGATTTCCAACGAAGATACCAAGTCCCGCGCATATTACACACTTGTTCGGCCCAACCTGGAGTACTGCTCAGCTGTATGGAGCCCCCACACCAAGAACCAGATTGACCAGCTGGAAATGATTCAAAAGGAGCAGTTCGTTACACCACTAACAGATACCGTAACACCGTCAGTGTATCTGTCATGATATCATTCTTACAATAGGACTCACTAAAATCAAAACGCCTCTCAAGATTCAGCTTACAACCATGTACAAAATTACCCATGATTTATCAGACATCCGAGCCACGGACTACCTAAAAGCCTCTACATCTTCCACCCGACGAAATCACTCCTTTAAATATTACTGTCTCTCATTCTCTAAAAACACTTTAAGGCATAGTTTCTCACATCAATTATCCCCCACTGGAACTCTTTCCTAACTGCTATGGCTGAGGCCCCTGACTTGGCATATTTCAAGCAAGGACCTACTTCTCTTACCTTTCAAATAACAATATAGGCTGGCTTTTCATTCGACCAATGGCAAGAGCTATGCCGGTTGGGGCTTGTCCCCAGAGGCCGTTACTGTAGCCGGACAGGTCGAGCTACTGGCTTATGGAGCCAGCCGAAGAAATACACACACAANACACACACACACACACACACACACACACACACACACACACACACACACACACACACACACACACACACACACACACACACACACACACATTATATACACACACACTGTTTCCGTCTTTCTCCTTTGAATATGTATTTATGTCTGTTTTTAAGTCTGATGAGACGCTACGCAACACTGTGGAAGGCAAACTGTTTGACAGAACAGTGAAAGATGCAGATGTATGAACTAACACAAAACTCTTCACAAATCTAAACAAATAGTCACCAATGTTGTCGATACGCACAGATTTGCATGCATACTGACATGGAAATGTAAGAATTTGATCCACACACAGATCGAGAGCTCTCCAGTATGGGCGGGGTCAAATTACCGACTTTTGAAAGCTTCTTTCTGAGTGGTCAGTCCGATGCAGAACGACACGTCGCCAGCACAGGTCGCACAGTACTTTACTACGTACTTGTAGCAAGGACATACAATGTTTCTTAACAGACAGTACGTTGTTTTTCTTGTCTATGCTAGCGATCAGAACATGAAATTTGGTTTGAACTCGAGACCGGTATAGCCAATCAAAACAACGTACTATCCCCTAAATAATCCGTAGTTATTGACCAATGAAAAGTGTCGATACATCATAAACGTGGTAGAATAATGATAAAACGACATTGAAGTAGTACTCTTTCCAATCAGCATCAACCACTCTAAGGCGCTTAAGGATCCCTGTCCGACTGCATTGTGGTTTTGTTCTTCTTTATACAGTAGCCTCCCCTCAACTTCCGTTGACCAGGGAGCTTAATAGGTTAGAGCGATAGTATAGCAATCTGAAGTCCCAGCGTTCGAATCCCGGTCTAGTCCAGTTGAAATTTTACACTCAGATTAATATTGTTGATTAAATTCTGTTTATTTCATCTTTATTATTTCCCACGCGGATTTAGATAGTAATTTCCATTCTAATTCCGTATTTCTAACACGAGTTCTGCAAGGTATGGTTTTCTTTTCAGAAATGCTTTTCAAGGCTATAGTCATACCCGTGAAAACAGCGTCCAACACTTCGGTTACTTTTTTGACATATACGGGGATCCTTGAAATATCTTATTCATCAATTGAATACAGCTTATGGAGTATGAGCTGCCTTATTCTGTAGTCATATGTCATTGACTACTGACCACCTGTATTTGTACAGTCAGCGGCCATTGACATTACAGTACTTCGTCTGCGCATGTTTCTATGTCGAAAATGAGTTGTTCCGGATATTTCTGTTCTATTTTTAGCATAACGCGCGGAAATGTAATAGTGGGGTGATGACAGTAGGTGGCTTGGTAGTGTCGAAATAAGGGGACACAGTAATGTATGTCGACAAAAGAGAAATTGATCATGATATGTTGAGTTAATTATCACGAAAGCGAGATAATGATAACTATCATGATAATTATTCAACGATAAGTCGACTTAATTATCAGGACATGTCGACGCAACGAGATTATTTTGGTGACAAAATTGGTCGACATGCAATATCACCCTAGGGTGTTGCCCTCCAATGATATAACCTGTATCAGGGAGACAAATACTTATATCACACCTATATGGTGTAATTAATTGTACGTATAGTCACTATACTATTAATGCAGTCTCGTCATCAGAAACATTGTAAAATACAAGTAATATGAAAAATCTTGTTAATTCTTTAATAGATCAGATTTACATATTGTGATTTGTGGACGTTGTCAGGAGTTCCTTCAACACTTCCTTCACACCTGGTCATATAGTATTCCTCTAACAGAACTGAAATATAGCAAAACACGTAATTAACAATTCAATTAACACGTGCCTTTAATTATGAATTTTGAAACATCGGAAATGACGATTTTCATTTGTTGATTTATCTATGAAGTTAATGTTTGCTTTTGTCGTATAAAACTATGTCGAGTTTCTAGGTTTTGTTACCAAGTCAGGTTTCTAAGTACTGTTATCGTGTCAAGTTTCTAAGTTTTGTCAACATGTCAAATTGAAAACTCTTTTTACTAGGACAAGTTTTGTTTCCTTCTTTGAGTTCTGTAATCATAAATTCTTAAAGTCTTATGACCAGTCAAGTTTCTAAGTCTTGTAACAATGACAATTTTCAAGACTTTGAATCATAATATTTTTTGAGTCCTGTTGCAATGTGAAGTTTCTTAGACTTGTTACATGTACAATGTCTGGCCTCTGAGTTCTGTTGTAATGTCAAGTTTCATAGACTTGCTACATGTACAATGTCCAGCCTCTGAGTTCTGTTGTGATGTCAAGTTTCATACACTTGCTACATGTACAATGTCCAGCCTCTGAGTTCTGTTGTAATGTCAAGTTTCATACACTTGTTACATGTACAATGTCTGGCTTCTGAGTTCTTTTGTGATGTCAAGTTACACACTTGTTCCATGTACAATGTCCAGCTTCTGAGTTCTGTTGTAATGTCAAGTTTCATAGACTTATTACATGTACAATGCCCAGCTTCTGAGTTCTGTTGTGATGTCAAGTTTCATACACTTGTTACATGTACAATGTCCAGCTTCTGAGTTCTGTTGT